TGGTAAAGGAAGGAGACCCTCATTGTTACACAAAATTACATATAAGAGGAAGTGAGGGGAAAGGGGAAAAAACAAGAGAGAGAAATGAATTACAGTTGATGGGGTAGGGAGAGAAGATGGGAAGGGAGGGGATGGGAGGGGAGGGAAGGGGAGGGGAAGGGGGATAGTAGAGGTTAGGAAAGGCAGCAGAATACAACATACACTAGTATGGCAGTAGGTAAAAAAGTGGATGTGTAACCGATGTGAACCTGCATTAGGTATATAGGGTAAAAATGGGAGTTCATAATCTTCTTGAATCAAATGTATGAAATATGATATGTCAAGAACTTTTTAATGTTTTGAACAACTAATAAAAAAAAGATTAAAGACAGGATGTAATCAAAATTTTCTGAAGATCCCAGAGATTATACTAAAATAAACTTCTTTTCATTCATCAAAAAAAAACAAACAAACAAACAAACAAAGAAAATGGCTCAAGCTTCTTTCTGCATAATAGCACTGTTGCACTTCCCCCCTAATTCCCCGTTATTTCAAGGACTAACCTCCTCTAAAATATCTGGGGAAAATAGAGATTGCTTCATGTGTGCTTCTATGCTGTCATCTCAAGGATGCACAATCATGATTCCTCATTCAACCTCATGCTTCTGTTCACATTGTAACCTGTCTTTACCTTGAGTTTGTAATAAAAATAAAGCATGATAAAGTGAGGCGGGTACTGGAAGGTATGGCAGAGGTAGTTACTATTTTAAATAATACGGGCAGGCAAGAGCTCTCTAGTAAATTAACATGTAACCAAGAATTAAAGGAGGTGAGGGAGTGAGCCAGGTAGAGATCTGGGGAAGGTGTTACAGGAAGAGAGAAGTGGCCTGTACAAAGTCCTGCCATGTAGGAGGAACAGCAGGATAGTCAGTACAGCTGGAGTTAGGCTAAGGAGAGTCACAGAGCTGAAGTCAGAGAGGGAGGGGACCCTCAGACTAAGTGATGCCTTGCAGATATGGGTACTCTTTGGCTTTGACACTGAGTGTGGTAAGACGCTGTTGATGAGTCTGAGGCAATTTTTCCTTCCTCCTTTGTGAGACATGTTTAAGAATCCACAACAGAGTTGTGGCTATTCTGCAATTTGTCAAGGCTTGCTCCAGTGTTGTAAGCATATCTGGGAGGGAATAAACAGCCATAATGTCAAGAATAGGCCATTAGAATTTCATAACTTCCTTATGTTGATAAATAATCCCCAACAGTTTCATCTGGGATATGGTTTACAAACTTCTAGATGAGTCACCAATTTCCAGGCAAAGCAGAGGGAAGATGGAACAGTCACTGGAGGGAGATGTCACAAGCTCACATCACGGGCAGAAAAGCAGCAGAATGCTGACATGCCAAGAAGATAATCTAAATCACACTCACAAGACAATATACCTGGGGAGAAAACTCCACCAAAAATGTAAGACAGACTATGCTCTCAACCTTTTCTCAGACTGTGACTATTAAAGATTTATAATTGACTGCAATTAATTTTAGCTGAAATTCAGCCATACAGCCCATTGTCATTACCACACCCACTACAGCGTCCACACAGCTGTGGGTCATCATTATGATCTCTCTTCCAGGAACATTAAGCAATTTGTTAGAGAACAGACATCCAGAAACAAACCTGTGTTAGCTTGAGCCTGTCTTCCAATTCTACAAACCAAACCATCACTCTCCAGAAACGATGATTCCAGTCCACTTCCTATATCATTTGAAGAAAAACAACACTGACAACAAGAATGTCAAGTTTCAAACACAATGCTAGATTCACTGTGAATTTCTGTAGTGAAGAATGACTGCTTTTTAAAGATGCATTTGTCTGGGGTAGCAATATTAAATTTTAACACGTATTGACAATGAAAGTGACAAACTCACTTTGTTTCAGCTCTTTACAAAGTGAGCAATGAAGCTTTAAATCGTTTTGTAAATGAAATTTAAATATACATAATACATATTTATTGGATTAGTTTAATCATTATCCTAGCACGAAAATCCGTTATCACTGACATTTTGGTATAGTTCTCTTCTGTATAATATTTTTTTTGTCTTGACTTTTCTTTTTGACAATATTGAAAATATCATATGTAGAATTTATATATACCTATAATTTTACCTTGCCATTTTCCTTGATATGATGTCAAAGCATGTCCTTTGTTTTATAAACTCTTTAAAATATAATTTTAGGGTAAGATTTCTGAAACATTCCATGATTATGATTTCACTGCTAAAATTCTCCTCTAGCCCTCCACCACCTTCAATACAAAGTCCCAACATCTTTAGGGGAGGATATTAGGCTTGTCATGATTTAACCCTTTTTGAATCCCTAGTTTTTTGCCTTTTCCTTAGTTTCCCAAACATATCTTGATCTCTAGCAAATTGGAATAACTTGCTGTTTTTGAGTCAATATTACTTTTTAATTTTCCCCATAATTTCTTTCCTAAATTTTAATGCCTTCATTATCATTATTGGATTCAAAATTTTTACTTATCTATAAATACTAAAGTTTTTAAAATTAGATTTTCTGGGCAGCAGCCCTTGACACTCCTCACCCAAACCCATGCAGTTGGTGACCTTTGTCTCCTGTCTCTGAGTCCCCACAGGACACTTCAGCAAAATATGGGTTTCTTCCTCTATACCAGGTGCTCCCTAAGAGTGGGAACATTGTTTTACTTTGCATTTGTGTCAGTGGTTTCAGCATAGTTCCTGGTAAAAAAGAGGCATTAATTCATTTTGAATGAGCTAATGAAAGACCATAAATAAATCATGTATATTTACATTTTTTTTTTGTATTTTTAGGTGTCGATGGACCTTTCTTTTATTTATTTATAATGCACTATTGAGATTTAAACCCAGGACCTCACACATGCCAGGCAAGTGCTTTACCACTTAGCCATAACCCCAGCCCCATAAATTATTTTCTTTTATCTGTGCACTTTTACTGAGAGTTTGTCTTCCCTGATATAAAGTCCATATCTTCCAAATTCCAAATTGTCCTTATTTATTGCCATGCTATTGTTGTTGTTATTATTATTAGCTTACTTACTTTGGGTAAGTAAGAGTTACCCAAAAGTTCTTTGTATTTTAGAGTTCTTTGTATTTTTTTAAATTAAATACTACTTTTATTTTAAAACATAAATTTATCTAACCTTTTTATTACTTAAGGAAACATATACATATATATGTAATATATGTAAACATATGTGAAAATATTTATATATAAATATATACATATAACAGGTAGGGGGAGAGGAGATTTCCACAATCTATGAAAAATATTTTTGATGATGCAAACAATTACACTTTGGGTTTTAAATTATTAAACAGAAAAGAATCAAGCATCAAGTCAAGAGAACATGTGCAGAAATGGCTTGGAGGACAGGAGGGGTATATATACATTCCACACAGCTTATCTTAATTAACACAAACTAGATACAGCAGTCAACCAATAAGGAATCTCCACACTTAATGGTTCCCTGGCGTTACTTCACAAACCACTCCCTCTGCAAAATGCCAGGCGCCATCCTGACTTGTTTACAGACTCTAATAGCCCAAAGTGTCAAACCAGTGATTGTTCACTTCATATGCAGCAAAGATCCCTCCCCTCCAGATATTTTGTATCTGGCCCACCAAAAATTGCTGGTTAGAGAGAGCAAAGCAGTAAGAGGAGAGTGGAGGGACCCTGCCCACCCTGTTCCACGCTTTTATTAAAACTGAGACAAGAAATCTCTATGGAGTTCATAGGACTTCTTGATAATGGGGCTTGAACTTGGGCTCCTTTACCACTGAGTTATATCCTACTCCTTTTTATTTTTTATTTTGAGAGAGGGTCTTGCTAAGTTCTTGAGGGTCTCACCAAGTTGCCCAAGTTGGTCTCGAACTTGTGATTCTTATGCCTCAGTCTTCCAAGTCACTCATGGCTGATTTTGCTCATTTTAATTAATATTAATTTAAGTTTGAAAACAATATTCTTAATGCTTGTTTAATATTCTATTGCATTAATGTACACTAATTTATCTATTATGCAAGTGGAGGCATTAATTTCCTTGTAGGTTGAACATTTAGTTTCCGGTCTTATAATAACTATGATAAATAAAGTGATTTTGAACATCCTTATACCTAAGTGTTTATGTTCAGGTGGCAGGGAGCTTTGAGGAAAGAATTAAGGTGCCAATGGCTTCAGTGGTAATTTTTATTGTGTAATTTTAATTGTGGAATTCAAGGAAAAAATACGAATTTCAAAATAAAAGAGAAAAGGATATTCTTAAGAAGAAAAGGCTAGAAATACAGCGATAGCCTCAGCATAACTAAGAATGGTGGGAATAGAGATTTAGTAGAGAAGGAAAGAGAAAGGAAGAATATGGCATAGGAAAAAGAGTATTATTATCTTAAAGAGGGAAAGGACTAAGAAGTAGGATCAATATTTATTTAAGATTCTAAATCAGAATTTCAGAATAAATAATGCTACTGATTTTATGATAAGAAAAGTTGATAAACTGTATTTTTATCATATTAAGCTTTAAGAAATGATTAGACATTTGGTTACACATATTTCTATAAGTGATACTGAATTCTAGGAAGGGTTAAGAAGAAAATTAAGTTAAAACCATCATTATATAGGTGGCTATTAAAATAGTGAGACAAAAAAAGATTCCTTTAACCCACATTGATATAGCACCTATCATGCATAGAAAGTCACGTGATAGGTGTTCAAGCCAGTATAAAAATGAGACTTTAGGGCAAATGATGAAATACATAGATACAAATCTTTATCCAAAAAATGAATAAACTATACTGATATACTTCAGTCATAGTAAAGGCTGTAAAGGAAAACACGAGAATAGAAACCCAATTTTTTCAGTCATTTCTTATGATAATTAAAGAAACAGAATGACCACATGGTGGCGATATTCAACAAGAAATTAGAAAACAGGAAGGCAAACTTTCTTGTTCCTTTTGGCCTGCTAATTCTCTTGGAAAAGCACATTGAAACCGTTAAATCATAAGGAAACAAACACTGGGAATTTAGAGGGACAAATTACTAACTGCTCCATCTACCTCATTTCCTTAGACCACTTGAATTTTTGAAACATATTGCAATTAAATGAATTTGTGGTTTTTCTGGATTTGGAACAATGGCAAGATTTGAAGATGCTCAGACAGAAAGCTTCCTGCCTTGGGTGAGTGTCTGCTGTGAGGCCCTCTGGGTGGCTAAGCAGCAGAGAACAGAGGCTCTTCTATTTTCTGGAGTTTACATTTGTCAGTTTCTCCAGTGGGCAAGTTCCCTCCATATGGTTGGCAAAGAATGGGTTGGGCATGAGCAATACTGAATCTTTTCCAAAGCAGGCATCGACTAATTTATATAAATGTAAAAGCAAGTGTTTAAAAAAATATTAAATGGGGCACTAACGCTGGAAAAGAAAGAGTAGTTCTACTTTAGTAATTCGTAATACTTTCAGTTATTTTGAGCCATTTGAAAATAAATATCACATGTGCTATGTGTCAAAATGTAGATATTTAATTTAAAAATAAACTGTAGTTTTTAAATGCCATTAATAGGATCTTTCACAAGGATTATAAGACAATGTGGGTTACCCTAGTATTCAAGCTCCATCCTTTCCCTCTTGGATAATTCTTATGGTTTCTTCAAGACCTCTATAGTTCTTTAAAAGGAAATTACATCTGGAAATAGAGGCTACAGAGGGAAGGTCTCACAAAAAATGTTCTCATCTCAATAAAACTTTATAATTTCAACTAGGATTTTCAAAACATTTAGGAAATAACTAATGGAAAGAAGATGGCCAAGGAGACAAGTTATAAATAAAGAAAGATATTTACAGGCAAAAATAAGTCAAAACAAGGAGAATGAAATCTGTTTAGATTTGCTACATGTTTGGGTGAAGAACTGTGTGAAGCTTGGTGACTCTTATAAATTTAATCCAGATGCTGCTATTTGAGTACAATGGGAAAATACCACTTCTTCTCTGCCTCTGGCACATCTGTGTCTGCTTATTCCCCAACCCTCAGACCTGTCCTGCCTGCTGGGTGTGTCCAGTGTGGGTAGAGTGCAGTCTTTCTTACCTAGAACTCAGAAGGGAAGATAAAGGAATGTAAGATAAGGATCATTTACAAAATGATGCAGGATTGAAAAACATGCAAGGGAATCAAGAAAGAGGAAAAATGAAAAGGGAATTATTACTGAAGAATAATTTTGACTCTCCCTGGTCCCCGACTGGGACACAGAAAGTAGAACTTGCCCAGGGAGATTGAATTTTCTTGATTCTGGGACCTTCTCAAGCAGTGAACCCTATTTTCTGCTTTCTTTTCATTGCAGCTGCAAGAAATGTGCCAATTTTCATTCACCATTGAGTTTTGTCTATCTTGTGTAATCTGGTTTCCTGACTCAAAATACTATAATCCACTGATCAGATACCTCAAATTATTCAGTCAAATGGTAGTTGTTTTTCCTGGGCATCTTATTTTGATATCTAACTCAATCCCTCTTTGAAATATGGCTTCTTTTTGGCTTTTGTAGGTTTCCTCCATCTCTCCTCCTGACTTCCTGAATTAATATTCTCTAACTCCTCTTCAACTCTTGCTCCTTGGTTGTTGACAATCTTCTAATTCTTTGCTGATAAATTTCAAATTCATATTTAGCACCAGCCACTCCCAGAGCTGAAGATTTTGATATCTAACTGTCTATGAAACACCTCCATGAAATTGCCTACTGGCAATTCACACCTAAATGGGTCCCACGTGGATATCTGGTCTTTCTTGCTGAGTCCTCAGCTCTCCTGTTTTTCTCCATACAGAGAACACCACCATATCCCAGGCAGAAAATCTAGGCTCATCCTGAGTCCTCTCATAATCTCCACCCTGATTTATCAGTAAGTCTTTGGAATTATGTATATTCTCATTATACAGCATGTCCCATCTATCCTTTTTTTCAGGGTTCATCTTATTGTTTTCCAGAACCATTGCCATAGCTTTATGACCTGGTTCTGTTCTAGTTCCCATTTGGTCCTTCATTCAAACTAGCACCAGACTTAACTTTCCAAAAGACAAATCAGATCCTACTTCAACTTCACACTTACAGTCCTTCCAACTTTCATGTATTCTCATGATCCATAGATTAAAATCCAAAGGTCTTCACATGGCATTTAAGTTTGTTCATGATTTGGTTCTCATGTCACTCCTCCATACATCTAAGCCACTCCTAGACTCCTTATCACCAAGACCCTTTTGAAAACTCCAATATCTCTACTGGCCTACAAGGAAATATTCCCCATTTTCTACATTATAATGATTAAGACTCAGTTCAAATATTAACTCCTATATGACAATGATTTATGTTTAGGACCTAATACATAATATGGATTTTATAACTGTTTTGTTATTTTTCTATTAAGTCAAAACAAGGAAAATGAAAGCTGTTTAGGTTAGTTGTGAAGTTTAGTACATTTACTTTGAATAAACTTATACAAATAATTTGTGTCAGTCATCATTCTGGGCGATAAGAAGAAACAAAAGGAACAAAACTGAATCCCTGATCTCAAAATAATTGCAGTATATTTTAGGTAAACAATGTCTGTATTCTGTCAAGTACACTTTTATAATGCACTTGACAACCCCTAATACAATTTTGTCTACCATTTTGCCTTCACAAATGGCTGAAATATTATTTCCTGTTCAATGTCAGGTACAATGTCAGGTATACACCAAATGGATATCTCCTCTGTTAGGCCTTAAGGACCTTTCTCAGAATCAGCCTATGCCTTAGTGCTTTCTATTATTTTTCACAATATAACTTGGGCTTGCAGGGTGAAATTTGTTTTCTTTGCTTCTTTAAAATTGTCCTATCACCATTTGATATTCTTGGGATTTTTTGTTTACTGTAAACACAGGCAAGTAAATAATTTCATTAGATGGGTTGTACTATTATATGATATCAACTGGGAAACAGAGTGAAGAACATAAATGATGCTCAGAAACTACCAAGTTTAGGAGGATCTTCTAAAATTAATGTGTTCTATCACATTCATATCAAAGTAATTGGATATATAGTTTTTCTTTGTTCCTTTATTCTAAAAAATAAACTTACTGCCCACCCCCTCATCTTTCTAATTTCTGCTTAAGGGATTGCTTACCAAAATAGCATAATAATAGAAAATAGCCATCATCAATTTAGGTACCCTTCAAATTAAGGAGGTGATTCATTCACATCTCTGTAGATCTTTAGACACAAGGACCTCAAAGTCCACCTGACTGCTGCCTCACAAGGAAGGTTCAACTTTGGTCTCTACTTTATAGAAACACATTATACTCTTGTTCAGTTTATACTTTTCCTACATAAAACTTGGTTTTGAACTTCTCTGGAAATTGATAGCAATCTTTTCCTCCCTCCCACTTTCTTTCTTTCTTCTGCTATATTGAGGTATAAGCAATAGACCAAAAGACTACACATATTTAATGTACAGAATTTGATGAGCTTGGACATAAGCATGTACCCAGGTAACAATCCCCACAATCAAGGTAATAGATATATCCATCATCTCTAGGAGTTTTCTTATGCCTCTTTTTTGTTGCAAAATTTAAGATGAGATCTAATCTCAAAATTTTAAGTGCACAGTACAGTATTGTTTACCATAGGTGCTATGCTGAGCAGCATATCTCTTGAGCATAGACATTTTTCATAATTGAAACTCTACATCCCTTGAACCATTCATCCTTTTCCTTTCTCCCCAGCCCCTGGCAATGCTCTACGAGTTTGTTCACAATGATGCAATGGTGGGCAGGGTTTCTTTCCTTTTTTTTTTTTTTTTAGGCTGAATTATATTCTCTGGATGAATATTTTGCAATTTGTTTATCCATTGTTCTGTTGATAGACATTTGTAACCATATCTTGGCTACAATGAATAGTATTGGAATGAACACAGGGATTCAGATGTCCCTTTGAGATCTTGATATCTACCCACCAGTGGGATTGCTGGATCTATTTTTAGCTTTTTGATGAACCACTATACTGTTTTCTATAGCAGCTGCACTATTTTAAATTCCTACCAAATGAAAGAATAAAGGGTTATATTTTAGTATACTTAGTTGTGATAACTTCACATGAAAGGAATAATGAATTTATAAATACTTTTAAATAAAAATTCTATAATACTACTGAGTTAATAGAACTCAGATATTTTTTAGCTTTTCTAGATGCAGTTAAAGAAAATCATTATCTATAACTTTAGCTTTATTTATTTATTTATTTATCACCAGGGATTGAGCCCAAGATGCTTAACACCTCAGCCACATCCCAGAACTTTAAAAAAAAATTTTTTTGTTTGTTTTTGAGACAGGGTCTCACTAAATTGCTTAAGTCCTTGTTTAGTTGCTGAGGCAGGCTTTGCAGTTGCAATCCTCCTGCCTCACCTTCCCTAGCTGCAGGAATTATAAATTTGTGCCATATGCCCAGACAACTTTAGCTCTTTTAAATGCAGATAATATAAAATAATAATTTCTTCTACATTTTTAATGATGTTTTATAACTATAATTTATTTGTGTATCTAATTGCTATATCAAATTACATATTGTTCATATTAATTTTTAAAACAATGCGTATAGATAAATAGTTAAGACTATGTAAACTAGCATTAATTGTTTTTAATACTTACAGATAATCATTTTAGTCAATGCTTACTTTCAGATATAAGTACTATGTTAACAAATTACGGAAACAAAGGCAAAATGAAGCAAAACGATAACATAAACCTAATGTCACCAATTTACTCTTGCTTTCTATCTTTTAGGAAACATAGAGTCAACACTAAAATTTGTCCCATCAAGTAGAATCCTTAGTTCAGTCCAGGATGGGCTCAGGGATCTGAATTTTGCTGTGCCTGGTGGTACATGCTTGTAATCTGAGGAAGCTGAGGCAAGTGGATTGCAAATTCCAGGCCTATCTCAGCAACATGGTAAGAACTTGTTTCAAAATAAAAAATAAAAATGGCTAGGGATATAGCTCAGTACCTGAGATCCTGGGTTCTATCCCCAGTACTGGAGCAACAACAACAACAACAAGAATCTGAATTTTAAAAAGTACCCTGGTGTGGGTGGGTGTATTATAGTCTGATTATCCTGTTCTCATTATCAGATTACATTTGTAAGGTGACTATAATATAGCAATTGGCTTTTAAAAGGGTGTTCATATCAAAATTTCAAATATTATGTCATTGAATATATTCTTATATACTTAATATTCAGTTATTTAATTTAAGCATAGCCTAAATTGTCATTTAGAATATGAGCTCTGTATCTAGAATACATGACTTTGAATCCTCATTCTCTACTACTTGGCTTTGTGGAATTATGACCCCTCTTAGGTTGTAATTTACCAGTTTATAAAATGGAATAGGAATATTCCATTTTATAAACTGGTAAATTTATAAGATTGATGCCAGGATTAAATGAGTATTTGGGATATGTAAATACTAAATTAATGTTGGTCATGATTGTTCAGATTACTTTGTGGATTTTCCTTTATATGGATTCGAAATCATCTTTTGTATTGATTTATTTTTATTATATACACAGATCTTAGTGTGTACACCTGAGGTTTGTTTATGGACTTGCTGATTTATGCCTGTCATCTAGGAGTAGTCTCTGGTTTAGCATTTGTCTGGGATGAAAGTGTCACAATTGGGAATATTGTCACCTTTAATGTTTTCAAGGTAATCATTTATTTTGAGAGCTCAGAATTCTTGTTTTGTTTGTTTGTTTTGCAGTGCTAAGGACTGAATTCAGGAGCTCATGCATGCTAGGCAAATGTTCTGTCATTGAGCTTCACCCATCTTGAGAGCATAGAATTCTTAGGTAAATAAATACCATTCCATTATACTTAAAGTGGGTTTTTTCCTGTGAGGAGAGTATTTTCTTTAAGACATGAGATTTGGAGTTTTGTAGATATAGTTTCCTATGGACTGTCTAATAATCTGCCTCCTATTAACTCTGTACTTCTACAAGTATCTGAACTAAGCTCAACTTCTCAGAAGAGACTCCCCAGTAAAGTGGATGCATTTGCCTCTTGAGCTCAAGATTGGGCTGATAAAATTCAAGACAGTACCTGCTACATAGTGGGATTTGTGACATCTCTCACACAGAGTCAGTTCTGGTAAGCAGGTCAAGAGTATATCTGCATTAATTTGAAAATGTGGATTTCCCTGTCCTTTTATCCTCCCGTTCAGTTTCCTTAAAATAATTTAAGTGACTCCAAGTGAGATATGTGTGTACATATCTCACCTAACTGTATTGGCTTTTCTATAATAAGCATATTTTAGAATACGTTTTTTGAATCTAATCAGAGAGCAGATACTGTGACCAATAATTGGTAATTCAGATTCTTAAATTTCTGGTGCAAATCAGTGTAGAAAGTTGATTCCAGAATAGCAGAAGAGTTTGAAGATGTAGAAGTGCTCCCATCCTCCTAGTTTCCGACTCAATTACATTTCTTTTTGTCTCCCTTCCCTTACTTTTTTGGAAGCTGACTTGAAATTCTAAATGATGGGTTTCTCCTGGAATAATGAATGTAGTAAAACATGTCAAGGAGCAAATACAGATTTTTCTGCCTAATCCCAAAATGTCACAGTATGTCATGTAACACCAAACAGCTTGACTCTGTAAAGATAGTACACACAATCTCTTGTCTTTAGAACCTGTGTGTACAACCTAGAATATTACCTTCATAGAAAAATAAAAATATAATTGAATATATTTAGTATATACCAACTAAAACTGATCTATAACAAATTGGAGAACTAAACAATGATTTAAAGAAGGAGTTTGTGCATACGCACAAATGCAAACATACTTAATTACAAGCAGGCCAAATGAAACAAGTTTTGAAAATTCTACAGTCTTCTACTTTTCTTTTTTTAAAAAATATCTTTTATTTTTATTTATTTATTTTTTATATGGTGCTTACGATCAAACCCAGGGCCTCATGTGTGCAAGGCAAGCACTCTACCACTGAGCTACAACCTCAGCCCTTCTACTTTTCTTGAAGCAAAATTGTATCTAATATCTCAAATGACTGAATAGCTATCAGGGTTTCGTTTGTTTCCCAGAGGTCCCTTTGTGATTCAGTTAAATTTGGATTTCAGATAAACAACAAGTAATATTTTATATTTGTATACATGTTAAGTATTTAGCACATACCTATAATAAAAATACTTATTAAATTTCATATTAAAAAATAACTATTTTACTTTATGTATATCCTAAATACCTCATTATGTTTATATTAAAATTTGTTTACCTGAATTTCAAATTTAACTGGGTATTTTGTGTTTTTATTTGCTAAATCTGTCAGACAAAATTCAAATCAACCTTTAACTGAGTCCTTAAACTTTAGAAAAGAGATTAATTATGGTTCAGCAGATTCTGTCCTGTTTGATAGACACTATGGTGTCTTACTGATTTAAATGGGAAAATTGAATTTTTGATCTCTTCACATGAGCAACATTCAAATCAGTGCAATAAAATCCAAGTACAATGAGAAAGTGTGAACAACTCTTTAAGTTCATTATAATGAGGTTTGGTTAGGAATAATATGTTTATTATTAGAAGCTAGACCTCAGTTAGAACATGAGCAGAATATGTTGAAAATAGATCTGCACAATCTGATCATATAAGAGGTCATTTGATATTGCCATGAGTTATTTTGATAGTTAAGTGGAAGTTATATTTGTTAAATATATTTTTGCCCCCAGGTTAATGATTAGTCTGGGGAATAGCAGCAAAATGAACAATAATATGAGAATTCAGGATAAAACGGCAAGTTGAAACAGAAAGGGTGTACATAGGACACAGTTGAAAATTTGGTACTGGTACCAAAACAGGAATGAAGACTAATGGACCAGAATAAAAAACACCAGAGGCAAACTAACATAAATGTAGCGTTTTAAACAAATGTTGGTGGGAAAACTGGAAATCCATATGTAGAAGAATGAAATTTAATCCATATCTGTGACCCTGCATAAAAGTCATCTCCAAGTGGATTAAAGACCTAGGAATTAGACCCAAGACCCTGCACCTGCTAGAAGAAAATGTAGGCTCAACATGCCAGCATGTTGGCACAGGAACCAACTCCCTTAACAAGACTCCTAAAATTCAAGAAATTTCCCTTCCTTTCTAAGATCAAAACTTAGTACTAAAAAATACAAATAACCCAATGAAAAAATGGGCAAAAAATCTAAACAAAAACTTCTCAAAAGAAGAAATATAAATGGTTAAAAATAGATGAAAAATGTTCAACATCTCTAGTAATTAGGGAATTGCAAATCAAAACTATATTGAGATTTCATCTCACTCCAGTCAGAATGACAATTATCAAGAATACAAGTAACAATAAATGTTGGTGAGGGTGTGAGGAAAAAGGTACAGTAATACATTGCTGGTGGCCCTGCAAATTAGTGCAACCACTCTGGAAAGCAGTATGGAGATTCCTCAGAAACTAGGATTTGAACCACCAGGTGACACAGCTATCCCACTTCTTGGTATGCATCCAAATGACTTAAACTCAGCATACAGTAATGCAGCCATATCAGTATTTACAGCTTCATAACTCACAATAGCCAAGCTATAAACCAATCTAGGTAATCTTAAACAGATGAATGTATAAAGAAAATGTGGTACATACACACAATAGAGTATTACTCAGCCGTAAAGAAGAATGAAGTTTTAGAATTTGCCAGTAAATGGATAGAATTGGAGACTATCATGCTAAGTGAAATAAGCCATTCCCCCAAAGTTAAATTTTGAATGTTTTATCTTCATGAAAGTTGAAAGAATTCTAGGCATCCTCAAGCAAAGAGGAGCCAAAGAGTTTTCATGAAGGCTTATGGGAACAGCTCTAGCTTATTGACTTAATAAGCATTCCTAAGCCCTATTCATCAATTTCAGTCCCCTTCCTTTCTGGATGTAAACTAAGAGGAAACAATTTCTATGTGTCCATACAACAAAATGGAAGGGCTTCTGTGCTCTTTAAAATTTTTATACCAAACCATCAAGGTATTTGTGCATCATTTTTATAGACTGCTCTACATTAGGAATTGTTCCAGTCACTCTCATGGAGCTTGTATGCTAGCTCTAGGTGTGTCTTGTGGTCTCTAAATATACCAGCCAGTTGGGAAATACTGAAGCACCATAGGCTCTGACCTTGCCTTCACTCACCCTACCAACATGCAGAAAATAAAATGGCTGAATATTTCCTATATATCACTGGCCTCTCATGTTAGTGATTCTATTCAATCATCTGGATTTTTAATATGTCCCCACCGACTTTTTATTAATAAATTTCTACTCATTATTAAAACTTGTTTTATATAGTCTTTCTCCAAACTCCTTTCTCCATCCAAATGGAATTTAAAGAAGAGTAAAAGGTACTTGTTTTTACCTTTGGTCCAAGTTAACAGCAAAAAATAATGAAATAAAAAATAAAGCAAGAAATTATTAGAAATAAAAAGCAAATAATTATGAGTAACAGACAAATATTATATTGCAAGATGGGTATATTTACGTAGAATAGGTGTTTAGTAAGGTCAAAATGACTGAATGAAAAATTACTGATATATATCTCTTGAGAAGATGAATTTTGTGAATGAATGATTACAAACATACTTTAGGTTGTACCATAGTTACTGTGTTTCTATTGCAGTGAAAAACTAGTACAATTAAGTCAGCATAGTTGTACATTCAAAGTACTGAGATATTATGTAAAATAATATCTTTAGGTATCACTATGCTTTATTAACTGTAGTATTCAACAGATTGCCATCACAGAAATGCTTAAGTCAGAATGCCAATGAAGTACTCAGCAAGATGAGAACTTATGTGAAAGGCTTGTATGGAGATTATAAAATTAGCTTGAATGATGACCACATATTATTAAAAAAACAGCAAATAACTTTTAAAATATACACTAAATATATTGAAAATAGGATATAAAATTTATAATTGATATACAAAAATTTTAAGTGATTTAAAATGTGTGTATCAGGTGCATGCTATAGTAAAATTACTCCCCATATATGTCTTCATGATAAATATAAATATGACTTCTTACAATAAATGTTAGACTTAACTTTCCATTAAAGAGAGTTTGTTCTGCTTGTCTATCAAATTATTGACAAATTGATAAGTAGTAATGACTCATACATTTCAGCACCAAAGTTAATCTTCATTTCATCAATCCGAACTGAAAATAACTTTTAGGTCCAGGTGAGATGGGTATGGAGCCTTGAGTAGAAAGAGTTGGGCAGCCCAGCTTCTCCATTTCCTTATTCTGTGACCTTGAAAAAGGTTTGTAACCCCTATCAATCTGGATTTCCTCATTTGTAAAATTATAATAACACTGCTGTGAAAAATGTATTGAAATAATGTGTGTAAAATGTGGAGCTAAGTAGCAATTTACAGCAGGCATTCAGTTCAAACTTGGGAGATGAAAGAAGGAAGGAAAAGTAAATAGATGCTATGTGATTGCTGCTTTAGTACCTCCAACGTCTCCTGTCTGTTCTACACAGAGATGGCCCAAGGCCCTCAAAGGATGAGAAAAGCACAGGACTGGTGTGTGGGAAATGCATCAACCACAGTGCAACCACTGATATGAAAGACAGTGCTTAAGGTTCTCTGGGGAACACTTGGACATGTCAGAGTTGGCATCATCTATAAGAGACCCTAATTGGTACTGAATCATGACTCTTTCCTTTCTCTCTCTTATGTTGTAAATATTAGGTGTCCCCCAAAAGCTCATGTTTGAGAAGATGCAAGAAGATTTAGAGGTGACATGATTGACTCATAAGAGTCTTGGTTCAGTCAGTGCATTAGTCCTCCAATGGATTAATTGGGCAGAAACTGCAGGCACGTAGGGTGTGACTGGAGGAAGTAGATTCCTAGGGGGTATGCACTTGGGGTACATATTTTGTTCTTGGTGAGTGGAACTAAATCTCTCTCTCTCTCCTGGTGCCCTGTACTGAGTTGCTATCCACACCCATGCCCTTCTACCATGATGTTTTGCCTCACCTTGGGCCCAGAGCAATGGAGTTGGCCATCTGTGGAATGAGATCTCTGAAACTGTGAGTTCCAAATAAACTTTTACTTCTCTAAAATTGGTCTTTTGGTCATTGTAGCAAAAGATTCATTGAAACACTCTTCAATGTGAATAGCACTAAGGCTTTCATCCATTTATGTTTTCAACTTTCTGATTTTTAAAACTGAATCACAATCATGAATTCAGATTTTTTAATTTAAGTCTATTTTTGCACAAGTTCATTTCCTTCATTAAAATTTCAAAATTGTAAACATACATGGCTACAAAAAACCACACTATTAAAATATATCTTTTCTCTCATTGGAGGTGAGAGAAGGAAGCAATTGGGGAACACTTTTCACAATTAGGATCTGAATTTTTGACATCAGAAAGGGCAAAACGGCGACACACCACTGTCCTAGCTTTATAGAAATCAGTTCGCTTAATTGGGGGAAGATTTTGCTGCTGAAAAACCAAAGGTATTTTTTTCCTTTAAAGAAATAGTATTTTTTTTGTGACTCTACTAAGTGCTTTGGCAGCTACTTTATATAGTATTTTAAAATTTAAAAATAAATTCTGGCAATGCTTTGAAAAATTGGAGCAAGCATCATAGATTTTTATGGCAATAGTGAGAAAGAGAACAGAAGCAAACAAAATGATGCCATTTACTAAGTCTCAATTTTGATAAGGAAAAGGAGCAAGGCAGCAAGATGTGCCACTTCGTGTAACCCAATTCAATCATTGTCAAACATCTCTTGAAGTTTTTGTCAATTTTTATAACAAAACCTGCTCTTTCAGTCAATATTTTCTTACTTCTTCAACTTATCACACATCTTATGACTTTTGTCAATTTATAACATTTTGAAAATTCTCTTTGCTTTTGAACAAGATGTCATTGATGATTTGTTGGCAGTTCTGGCCCTCTAGAATGTGTGTTCTGGTCTGAAATGCCTTTACCTCTATTCTTCCGATTACCCAATGCTCTTTGCAAACACTGATTACAAATGTCATTAGCTTCAGTGATTCACCTTCAGTTTCTAGTGCTGAAGGAATGGATCATTAACTCATTTTAAAAATTTTCCAAAAAGGTTGGTTCTACCCACTTGTCCTTCACCTAATTATCAACCTGCAAAAAAGGGAAGAAACAGATACCATACTAAATGACATCTTGGACCAGAAAAAAGAATTAGGTTGCCAGCAGAGCATATTTAAAAGAATGATTAATCTCTCTGAATTTGATAGTCAAAACATTTTGACACTAACTGGCAGTTTTAATGATCACTATAATTTAGCTGATGGGTTCATTAATAAACTCCAGGATACTTTGTAACATTCAACACTGTGATCACTCCAGTTAAGGTTACTGAGAACAAAAAAAACCTTTCCTTAGGACTTTTATAACCTGCCATCAGTAATCCAAGCAGGAATCTGTGTGTAATGATATCTGGTAAACAAGTACCCAGGAAGGTTATCCCATCTGTTAGTAGCCATTGGTCCTGTCTTATTGGTGAAATATCCTATAGCATTCTCGAATGACCCACCAGCCAAGAGCCACATATTTTAGTCCCTTAGAAAGGGAAAACATATATTATCAAATCAGTAAAGTACAGTCATCTTTTAAACCCCATTAGAAAAACAGAGACTTGGTCTTGTTGGTCTTAGTGCAGTAATGTAGGGTGGTTTGGTCAATAATTTTGGGAGTAAAGTTCATCTTTGAGGCTTGAGAGGTTATGATTGAGTTCAAATGCAAATAACATTTAATTAATCTACCTTAGTAACTCTCTGATGGTATTAGACAACTCTAAGATTATCTGTGGGCCCTTAGTAATTTAGTCACTGTTATTATGTCAGCTTCTGGACATAGTTCAGGCAGTTTTCAGGGACTGATAGAGGCCATAATATCCACTATTTTAGCAATAGATAGGGGTCATTTGAATAAAAAGATTCAATTTTCCTGGATGTGGAAGAATTGGAAAATGATGTGAGTGAATAGTTGTAACAATATTTTTATTGTAAAATATTTATTCAGTGATTATGAGTACATGTACACCTTGAAGCCGGAAATATAAAGAGGCAAAAATAAGTGTTTATTGCCTTATCCTTCTCTCTTTCCAGAGTAGTAATGTTTTTTCAGGGCCTTGCACATACTAGGCAAGTACTCCACCATTAAGCTCATCCTAGTTCTATAGTCAGATAATTTTAAGCTGGACAATGCCATACCAGCAAAAGGATTGCCTTTCCTAGCCTCTCTTTCACTATGAAGTAGGATATGGGTGGCAAGTGGTAGGGTTACTCAGCTTCTGGAAGTTTCCTTATGAGATAGCACTCATGAAATCTTCATGATGTGCTTCCCTACCCCTTTCCTTATGCTTCTTTGAATGTCCATTGCCATTTTGGACCATGCATTTGAAGTTACAGGTGACAGAGCAAAGTCACAGAGGATATATGTTCTCCGTTCCTTTGAGGTGCTGTTCAACCCAAGGTTATCATGTCAGACATTAACAATAGAAAAGGATGACATAAAAACTGTTTATAACCCAACATTTATGAGATTTTTCTGTTACTCATAAACAAATTAATCCTAACTCACATCACAATACATAGGGACCAATTCAAAATTTATGATTAATAACCTCCTTTTCTATTTGACACATCATCAGTAAATGCCAGATTCTATGTTGCTTCCTATGTCCTCTGTTCCTCACTGTCTATCCAAAGAATAAGAAAGCATAGTTCCATACTTCCAAAGTAGCCTTTACTCAACACACACACACACACACACACACACACACACACACACATGCACTCTTACTCATCACTATTCAATACCTATTCTTCATCTGCAGTTTCCCCAGCTTTTTTGACCATCATTAATATGAACTCATAGTGCATTTTAATGGAAGCTTTAATAGAAGTCTGTCTTTGGAACAATGGTTTAACAGAGCACTGACTAAATCTCCCTAATGGTGTTAGAGAAGAGCATCAAGGGTTTCAAGGAAGAGACACTAGTTGAATTGAGTCATAAACCTTGAGTAGAAAAGCAGACTATTTTGAGAAGAATATACCTCCAGATGGAGGAAAAGCATGATGAAAGCTGAGGGCGTATTTTGTAAGGTGAAGAAGTGCAGCATGTGGAGGAGTGGAGAAGGCTAACTCAGCCGTGATTAGACCTCTGAGGACATTCTATGTCTTGCTGAAGTTCTTGGATTGCTCTCTGGAACACCATTAGGGACTTTTAGACTTGGGATGACATGATTATTTTTGTACACTAGAAATATTCTAGAATAGGTGATGAGAGGAGTAAAATAAAAAGGCCAACAATAAGGATATTATTGGAGTGTTCATTTAATGAAAGTGGAACTAAAGATGAGAGATTCCAAGATTTTCTGAAAGTCTTCTAAGGGGCTAGGCAGGGAAAATAGAGATATCTGTGAAGAAGAGAACTGTTTTAATACTCAGCATATAGGTAAAAGTTGGAGCCACGAAGTCTTTTAAATCCCTGAGGGAGACATGTGGATTGGAAAGGATATAAAAGTTAACAAAATCCTGGGATGTAGGTGGAAAAAATAAATATCCTGTAAAGGTATTTTGGTGGTAGCAGTGAACAAAAGTCAGGAAACCAAGAAAAGAGATAGGGGAGGTGGGAAAGGGTTTTAAAAAGAAGTATTTATGATTATTTGATTAAAGTTTGCCTCCCTTGTAGAAGACAATAGACTTCAGTATTTTTTGTTCACCATTTTATCTTCAGCTTCTAACTGAATGAAGCCCAATACTTATTACACTTTTTTTAGAGAGAGAGAGAATTTTAATATTTATTTTTTAGTTTTCGGCGGACACAACATCTTTGTTTGTATGTGGTGCTGAGGATCGAACTTGGGCCGCATGCATGCCGGGCGAGCGCGCTACAGCTTGAGCCACATCCCCAGCCCCTCATTACACTTTTATTGCTTATTAAATATGTGATAAAGAAATCTGGATTCATTTTAGACATTATTGAGGCTTAGAACAGACTAAGAGATTATACCAAGAAAAACCCAATTGTAAAACAACGAATAGAAGCAAAACACAATCATAAAAAACAACAATAAAAAAGACATCCTATTTCTGGCTTATAAAAAAATGCTTCAATTGCATTTGAAGCTTCAATTGCATTAGAATTTCCTCATTGTGCCACTATCATATCACTGTATTTGTTGAATTGTGCCTCCCAATTCTTATCTCATCCATAGAACCAAGTTTCTAAAGGTGACTGAATACCTGGCTAATGCAGAAAGTGAAAACCCCTTGATGATGAGATTGGAAAGGTGTCATGTTCAATCTATAAAATTTTTTTGAAGCAACCGAAAATTGAAAACATGTAAAAAAAATAAACAAAACCAAAGTATTATGTCTGAGTGGGGAGAGTGAAAATTACATTTAGAAAAGTAGATTTATGCTCTGGAGTTTAGAATTATATCCCCCAGCAAACATCAGTACCAAGAAGAACAGAGGGAACTCAGATGAAGGAAATGTTAATAAGAGCTCATAGAAACCAAAAAACAAATTGAGACTGTAAATATCAGATTTACTTTTACTGAAATCTTTGTTAGGAAACTCATTCTAAGACAAAATATAAAACAATAGTTGAGTGCTTTTATGGTTATAAAGGCTTAAAAATTAAACTGCTAGGCATGGAATGTGGAGCACTTTCATTTAGTTTTTAATTCCTCCTACATAGGTGGTCCTCAGATCCAGAGGGTTCTGGGATAAACAAAGCTATGAGTTGTTATTAAAGTTAGAGAGGTTGTTATTTCCATGCAGTTTTATTTCCATCTGACTTGCTTAAGCATGCAGAGACAACAAAGCAATGTTCAATTTGACCTTTTATAGTTACGTTCATAAAAGTAATAAAATTTCAAAGTAAAATTTTATAGAAAATCTGTTATGTTTACCATTTAACGGGGACAGAACATACCCCTCTCCAATTCCACCCAATTATCAATGCTGAGGCTCTCTTTCCTCAAAATTACCACTTCTCTGTGTGTCAAAGGGCTCATCTGCCAG